AACATATACTATTAAAACTGAAAGAAGTAACACCGATTCTTCCCTATGATCACTATACACACATTTCTGTAAAGCACTATGAAGCAGTATATAAGTCTAAATGTATTGCTATTTCCATTCCAAAGAGTCTCAGCATGTACTTTCAGCTAATGCATCATCACAATTTTCAGTTTACAGTGGATTCTGAAAGCTCAGAAAATGTGTTATCGAAGTATTATTCATAGTCTGTGGTCCTCCAAAATGTCAAATCATTAAAAATATCTAAAATTTCATATTTAACAATTTTATCACCTACAACTTTCAATTGTCACATGATTTATATCTAAAAAAATAAACAGGTAGCAACATTTAAATTAATCAAAAGTTAATTAAAGGTGTTCATATTTGATTCCAGGCAGAATTTGATTTTTTTTTCAAAGTATTTTTTTAATGATTTTTTCCTTCTTTCCATTAAAAAACCTTATTTAAATCACAAATATGTGTAACATGATAGATACAAAGATGTATATCAATTAATCAATACATAGACTAAACAATAATTAACAAACTATATTTTTACAGACATTTGTTGGGAAGAGTAAGTTACATTGAAAACAGGAAGATTTTGAAATAGGATTGTAATCTCCCTTAAAACATGTGCCAGCATCTATAACATAATCAGTGCACTTTGCAAGTATTGCAAGTATAAATTACCATTAACCATTTTCTTACTACATGTCATCAATCAATACAGTAATTATAGTACTGCCCTGAAATCTGATCAAAAAACAATTCTATATTTAAGGAGGGAGATAACCAAATAAGAGCCTTCCGGAACACCCAAATGACTTATTTCTGAGTTTTGATGATACACACATACTTTTGCTTTTATGAAATATTTTAATAGAGACGTGCAAAATGTTCTATGCATAACTGCTGCTCTGGGAAGCAATTTTTGGTTTCATGCAAATCACCTGCCACTCTATCTGAATGAAACCATGCCAAGTTCTCTCTAACACTTCCCCCCAGGCTACCTTTCATTAGACCCCACCCCCTCCCTGGGCACAAGGAGCCCTCCCCACCTCCATCCCCCTTCAGCTCCCGGAATTCCTGTTTTCATGCCTTCTCATTCCAAGAGGACCATGTCCCAAATCCTTTGGACCTAGACAAAGAGGGGGATGTTTGGTCAACCAGATTCTCTTCTCATCAGTCAGAATTAGAATTCCAACCTCTCATCAATGTATCCTCAAACCAGACAGGGTTGTGTTTGCCACTGCAAACTCCGGCACTTCCCACAATACTGGACTAAGTTGGAAATGTCACTTCAGGCCAAGGTGCTGGACATGGCTCACACAGCAGATGAATCAGCCTGGTTATGAGCTGTTCTTCTAGGCAGCCAAATCTCAACCACAGATGTGTCGGTTCACAGGAGATGGTGAGTTCTCCTGGTTTCTATGCCAAACTGGCTTTTACCCACCTACCTAATCTATCTATCTAGTTATAGCCCACATCTTCACTGTTAAAAGCATATCCCACTCTATGCAAAAAATGGCCCAAGAAAACACCCCTGCAAAATGCATTGTAAGCTGGTATCCGTGCAATGTCAACTTTGCTTAAGTACTACTGATAACATTCCTTCATTAGGCATTGCTAAGTCAAAGTACAAAGTCATCTGAAATGGCCACATCTGGTGGCACATTTCAGGCAGAAAACACTGTACAAAAACATGGAATTTTAAAAAAAAGAGTGCTCTTTCTCCACAGAAACAGTTCTTGGAAAAGAAAGGTATTCTCCTCTCTTATTATTTCCAACTGGCAGAATAGCCAGCATTTTTGTACGCTCTCCCCAACAACCTGTTTTTTTTTTCAGAAGCCATCCCAACTGATCAGAGCCCAGACCCTAAATAAACACGACAGCTTCCCAAAACCATGGACAATGACCAAAAGGGCTCAAAGTGCTGAGCAAAGCGAACAATAAGTAAGATTGGCTAAGGCTTCAGAAAGCAGCCACTGCAAGCCACAGAAACCTCAGATGACTGAACAATTTCCTGGATTAAGCAGGCAAGTTCCGGTTTACATTGCAATTCATGCGGTTTATGCCAGCAGCTTGTCAGCAAAGCACTAGGACCCTGAACTTCCAAGGTTGCACTGCCTCTTTTGGCAGCAACACAGAAGAAAGCTGAGCTCAATGCTTGTGTTTCTCTTCTCTTTCTCTCTCTCTCTTCTCCCGCCCCCAGGGAACAGGAATGGAGCATAGCATTAACAGCTCCTTCTGTCTGGAAGCAACTGAAGCAAAGCCAAAGGGATGGAGCAAGGCCAAGATAAGGAAAAGCCCAGGGCTTCACATGAAGAAAGCTTACTCATTTGCAGATGCTTAAGATAGCCTTCCTGTAGTATGAGTCTCCAGTGCTTTCTGGTAAATTAGGAGTCAAATCTTTGGGGGAAGAAAGGATGGCTTAAATCCAAAGGACATTTCAGCCCTTTCACCTTGAAGTCTGTCTCTCATTAAGTCCCAGCAATCACCAGTACAAGAAGCAGGTCTAATTTCCTTCCTGCTGTAAACTATTCGTTTGTACAATTAAATGTTCCAGATAGCAATAAAGAAAAACAAATCGTTAATGTATTGGTGCAAATCAGAAAAAAAGATATGAACATTGTTAAACAGTTCCTGCATTTCAATAACGTAAGGTTTGTTTCAGATTGTTATATCAATGTATTGCAATAGGGGAAAATGTGACTTTTCAACTACTATCAATATTTAAAATAAATTTTCCCCAAACATTTTATATTTCACTCTTTTATCTGCACGTTTTGTTTTCACTTTAATGTACATTTAATACTTTTAAATACTATTTAAATATTGAATACACTTCATACTGCTAATGGAGTAAGATCCATGTATAATATATGTGAAATATACTATAAGAAAACAAAGAATCTGGTGATAGCAGCCTACAATCAAACCACTGACAGATTATAGTAAATTTCTACCTACTGTACTGTGTGTGATAAAAGGCTGGATATAAAACAGAAAACAAAATGAAAGTGCTTGAGTGAACAACAGCGCCTCACCTTGGCATCTAAATGTTTGCAAAACAGATGATAGGGATAACTTAAAAGAATATTCCAAAACCAGGGCACCCCACCTAAAATTATCTGCAGAAGGAAGTGATACTTGGCAGAATGTGCCTCTGCAACAAAGGTATTTGGAGCAGGGTATCAGAAGCACATTTTGAGTTATGGGCAAGTTAATCATTGCTTCAGTCTTTAAAAACTTAAGTGGCTTAGGGTTTAAGTCTAATTGAACCTAAAAATGAAAAAGGCAAGCGGTTCAGTTCTTCTTTTAAGGAATATAGAAGAATGGTGTGACAAGGGAACAAACCACTCTCTAATCAAATTAATGAATTAGTCTCTCTAAGAGTTCAGAAATGATACTGTATTAGATCACTATTTCAGCCTTCTACATACCTGCGAATGGTTCAGCATTGGCAATGACAAAGAAATCTATCACCCGTGATGTGAAGTCAAAGGCAATCTGTTGACTGCCATGAACAACTGTAATGCTATGCCGGTCACCATAGCTGGCTCGAGGCATCCCTCCTTGGAATATGAGGTAAGGGAGCCTTAAAGAAAAACAGATAATATTCTGAGGCTTCACTTTGAATAGCATTTCATAGCTGGGATTTTTTTAAAAAATGGTCTTACTGAAAACTGTGTCTTTCCATCTTTAGAATTAAATCCTTGAAATAAGTCACTAGCAAAGGATAAGCAAAGCATGCAATACTGTACAAGAAAAACATTGTAAGGCTGAAAAACATTGTGATGCTGATGTCTCAGTCATGGAACAGCCTTGAACCTGAGATTCTGAGGGATCCTTTAACCTTTTAGTCTTCCAGTTGGTTGTGAAAACTTGGCTGTTCCTTCAAGCATTAGGCTACAATGGAGGTTGAGCTGCAAGGATGATTGATCTGGAAGGGTACGTTGTTTTTAATATGCTCCTTACGTATTGTTGTGAATTGCTTAGAGTAATCATATGAGAAGTATATCGATTCAGGCAGGTTCTTTCTAAGATTCTTTCTCTGACAGTTAAGCATTGGGGTTTTCTCCTTCTCTTACCTGATTGTTCCCTACTAGCAGTATTCCTCAAGGCAGATTCCCACATACCTTTACGGAAATAGACATTGCTTTTCCAAAGCCCCTTTAAAGAGGAGCCATTCCTTGTGGTGGCAACTTACTAAGGACTTTCTCTCCTCAGGGTTCTCTGATAGAGTCTTGACTGTTATATTTTAGTCCTTTCATTCTCTCATTTTCAGTGGTATTTAAGATTCTTCTATCAGATCTTTAGCTGTCATTTCTATTCATTGTATTTTCCACTGTTCTCATTCTGGCTTTCACTGAATGATATGAAATATGAATATATGCCTACGGAATTTTATAATTACAGGATATCTATTTATAGTTAGGTGAGAAGGAAAGTAAGTATATACAAATCTTTATTATATGTAGAAAAGGACACAATTGTTACTTAACCAGTTGCAGGTTTCCTGGAATAGCCTCTCTTGTTACAAAAAAGTCACTTTATACCAGGGTATCAAACTCGATTTCATTGAGGACCACATCAGGGTTGTGTTTGACCTCGGGGGGAGGGGGGCATGGCCAGGGTGGGAATGACTAGCTTGACATCACTTGTGTCAGGGGTGCCTGTGGCGGCCCGAGTGCTCTGCCAGCGAAAACGGAGCTTGGGAGGGCCACACACAGCCCTCCCGAGCTTCTTTTTCGTTGGCAGACACACTGTGGCCCGGTCCTTCATTGTTTCTAGGGCAACCTTACAGGCCAGATCAAAGCACCCCATTGGATAGATCCGGCCCACAGGCCTTGATTTTGACACCCATGCTCTATACAGATAACATACAACATTGCCATGTTACTCATCCATAATACTCACACATTCTTTGCTGTTAGCCAGTAAATTTTGGAAATGGCTTTGCAAGGGAAGGGACCTACAACAGAACATTTACAAAAATTGTACATATGTTGTTATATTGCAAAACTCACAAATAGTTTTAGTAAAGCTGACACAGCATCTATTCTGCATATAAATTGCATAGCTAGACAGCTTCACCAACTCATTATGCAGAGCAACGTATACTCAGATTGCCTTTATGACATGAAGGATGAAAGGAAAAGCTAATCCTTTTTCGATATGAACAGCCTTTATCGATTTTCTGATAAAAAAAAAAAAAAACAAATTCCAAGGGCTAAAAAAAAACCTATATATCTCCAGAAGGTTTATTAAAATTGTAGAATCACTATTGCTTTTAGACATCAAATTGCCTAGCAATTCTAATTTATTTTCTATGATTTGCAATCTATTTTTTTTTCAATTGTTTTAAAACAAGTGCTTCTTTTGGCACAAGTTTATTTTCTGATCATAGAATTATTCAGATAAACACATGCTACACATAAACCCTGTAGCAATTAATCAAGTGCCACTGTTTTATTGCATCATTTGAGGAACTCTAGCAATATGAATCAAAGCTCTAAAGAAGGTCTACACAATATATTGTCATGTTATTGGTCAGATACTAAACAATCTTCTTTCTTACTTTTCTTCTTTCTTGCTTTTCAGGATGGCATGTATGATATTTAAATCAAACAGGCCTTCTTGGAAAAGCTAATCTGTAATGTTCAGTTTTATAAGTCCAGGTTTTCTAAAATCAAGCTTTGAATTTATCAAATTTATATGCCACCCCTTTCACCAAAGGCGACTTCCAATAAAATCAGAATCAAAGTTGATGCCAAAGGCATATCTTCCCAGCTTCCCACATACTAACCGTAATGTACTTTGCTTTCCAAAGGCTCAGGCTGCCAGTCATCACTTGAAATTGGCCACTGTGTATAGCTCCCATCATAATGGCAACTGATGATATGATGACCATCCCTCATCCAGAAGAGATTCTCTAGTTGCTAGAGAGAAACAAGAGACACATCCTGAAGGACAGGATCAATTTGCCCAGAATGTCTGTATTTAAAACACCGTCTCTTTTATTTCTCCGACTTTTATCTCGAATCCTTATAGAACTATCATATATTGGAAATCTGGAGTTCATTATAAGTTGTTAATGGGATCTTTCCTCCTGTAGCTAATGCTCTGAACCAGGCCACAGAGATGTTTAGATACCATCAGTCTGAACTGGTCAGATTCAGGCTGTGGTGATGCTGTCACAGTGTGCTACTCTGCATTTTCTTCCCAAAACAAAGGTGGTGAGCATATACCAGCCTGGACTCTTGACCCATGAAAGCCATAGCACATTCATTCATCTTCAAATTGGAGAAGTGTACTTTATCAGAGCTTTACCTGAATGGCACACCAGAGGTCACACATCCAAAAAGTGGGGCTGGGACAAAAGCTAAACCAAATGTAATTTGAACAGTTAATATGACTGCTGCTGAAAGATTTAATCATTTCTTCTGTTTATACATAGCCAGTGCAAACTTTTGGAGTGGAGCCATAACCACAGTTTTGGGGAAAGGTTGGGCTCTCTTTTTCAAACTGACCTAGTACGTGTGAAAAACTTCCAATGAAAAAATTCAATATTCTCATCAGAGTATATGTGTGATAATGTGGAAATAGTGCTGTCAGTCCTCTTCATTTTTATGGTGTAACTAACAAATCAGGCCAACTAACAAAGTTCAACAGAGCATTCAAAAGAGAGAAGGCAGCCTTTGACAACTTGTGGGCTCCCTCCACAGCACATTCTCCCATCTTCTCACAAACCCTTTGACCTCGTTTCTCCATTAACCCTGTCAGTGTAAGGTTTGTCTTTTCAAGTTGCACTCCTCACTGTTCAGTCATACTGTTATTCTAACCAACAAACCAAGCACTTTAATATGCTATTCGAAAATGCTAATGAAGAACGTGAAATCATATTCTAGGGACTAGAGATCTTGAGGGTTAGCTATATGTTAATAAACTGGTATAATAAACCCCTGATAATAATTGTGGGGGTTGTTTGTTTTCATGTTTCAACGAGGGTAATGAAACATCCATTTCCTATTCCCTACCTTAGGAAGAAGTATGCTAAAAGGATAAACTGCAGGATAGGAAAAATGCATTTTCTTTCACCTCCTTCTTGCTCTCCTTTTTAAAAAATCTGCAAGGACGTCATAATAATTGCTAGACAAAAGACATTGTTAATGCCCAACCAGATGTCTTTGTCTGTACAGAGTTCTATGACCTTGCTCATACTGTACAGTATTCATGGCTTGATTCTTTATTACAGTCAATGACTAGTTCATTTAATCCTAGTAAAACCTGTCAGTATCAAAGTAAAACCTGTCAGGTCCACAGTAACTCATAAACAGTAGTTTACAAAAAACAACAACAGAGGGTCTCACACAGTACACTAAGCCACATTCAAGCCAATCACATTTTGGCGTATCAATTTGGATGAACATAAAATGTAACTTGCTACGTAAGCTTAAGGAAACAGGGACTTCCTAGGCTTTGTTTGGAACTTTCAGAATTCACAAGTACCTGATTGCCAAGTAAATGGTGTGTTGCTTTCTTATTTATCAAATCCCAGAGAATAATGAGGCCCCTGCTGTAACCAATCAAAATCTGATTGGGATTCTGAGGATGTTCCCGTAACACTTCTACCAATTCCAGTGACCTCCTGTTCCGATAATCTTCTGGCACTCTGTGAGGAAACACAAACGGAGCCATGTAATATTACTATGCAAACAAAAGAAGTGAAATTTGTACATATGGTAGGGCTCCATCTTCTTCTGCACCATCATAAGGCCAAGTACATGGCTTCTTGCCAGTGCCACTGCTTTCAGCTCAAAACAGACCACGTTTTTTCAACAGCAGGCTCCAGGCCATTTACTGAAAGTAGTTCATCTTCCATAGAAACACTTCTATTTCTAAGCTCATGCATTGTTTGAGTGCAACATACTTAGGTAATCTAATTCAGTCTATTTTTTCCTGGGCTGTATTTAAGGAAACAACATGGTGCCTTGACGTATCTGAACAATGTGGTCACAACAGAAGTCTTTTAGTGGTTATGGTGTGGAAGCTGAACCTTGAAAACATATAAATCACCTAAGTTCTTCAAGACTGGACAAGTGTAAACTCATAGGCAAACCCCGAATGCTACTCTTTTTTTTTGACATTAGGCCTTGCTGCCCTCTGTTCTTAGGAGGAGGTTTTGACTCCTTCACAGAGAGTTGGAACATTCACATCCCAACAACTCTGCCTACTTACATAAGGAGCCAATTCAGATTAGGTAAGAAATGAAACTTCCCTGGAAAACATATATAGGATTCCCCCTAACCAACTTGCTCAAGGTACTTAGATAAGCAGCAAAATGTTTCAGACCAACAAGAACTCCAATTAACATGACTCACCTTCCAGATTTCATGTATGACATGAATATTGTATGTTGTATATTGTTGTTGTATATTGATTGGGACTTGCAGAATCTATATCCACATCTATGGCTGGATTTATAAACAGGGCAAAACCTCAGAAATGTCATTAGCTAACATAATCAGTGTCTGACATCACCTTTGCAATACTTCTTCTGGACCGATGATCTGGTCTTCTAGCACCCTGAAGGACGGGAGTTCTACCACAAACACATTACCACTTTCAGTACCAAGATACAGAAGTTCTTGAGAAGAATGTGTCAGGATTGCTGTAATTTGGGTAGCACTTGGAGGGGAACTAGAAATGGACAAAAACAAGAAAAATGTTTTAAGATTCAGTTGAATGAACTTGATATTGCAATCAACATCCATGTAGCACCATATAAAATAAATATTTGACCCAAAATCTATTTGCAAGAATTCAGAAAGGACTACTGAAGACAAGTTACTGAAATTCAAACTGTGAAACAGAAAATGTCATGTGGTTTATGAATACATAAACTTGCAAAAACTTAGTGATAGTTCCAAACCTAGTGATAGTTCCATTGACAATGCTGGGTTTAAGGAACAGTAAACAAAATACTAGCAAATACTATACTGATGCTTGTTAATATTTCCCCCCTTCATCACTATCCTAAAATCTGCACTATACGCTTGCCATTGTTTTAATTGAAATAACTTAGGCTACGTTCGGATACTGTATCCATCCTCTGATTTTCTTGCTGAACCATATTTGGCTTTTGCTTCAGATGAAATAACAAATTAAATTTGCTCATATAAGGTCCAGAAGAAAACTGGATTTACAAAAGATGATGCATACCACAATTCTCTATACCACAAAAAAACAGATTACTTAAGAGTGCAGAGAACTTTGAGTTTATATTTCCTTGAAATATCAACAGTGAAGAATCTACTGTATATCAAGCAAGTTGGCTTTCTTAGCAGCCCAGAAGTGCTAGGATTGGAAGTATCCTAGTTACCCAGGGGGGCCACGAAGTGTGAAGTGTCTTTCCTCCTGAAGCTCTGATGTACCATGATGGGAGTGTTTCAGGGTCCATAAATGCAGGCTGTTATCATCCAGTAGGGTCACCAAGCGGCACTGAAAATGATTAAATGGAAAGAGATAAAATAACCTTTGGGGAACTATTATCTGCAGTAGCACATCAAGAACTGGGCTATTGTTTAAGCTATAATCCATGACTAAACTGAAATAAAATTCCCATCTGGGATGGGACAAAGTTATGCAGAAACAGATTTGTTACAGAATCTCCACTTTAGAAATCTATTCCAAGGGAGTAGCCAAAAGCAACAACCAGGCTAATAGGCAAATTTGCACATATATTTTATAGAAGTTGACAGCTTATTTCAGCACATATACTGTCTGTACCAAGCACAGGAACCCCTTTTAAGACAAGATCTATCCTATTTAAAAAAAACACAGTCCAGCCTCTAAGAGCTATAATGGACAAGGCAGTGATGACAGGGCAACATAGGAATTGGCAAATGAGATGGGGACCGGGATGGCTGTGTGTGTGTGTGTGCTATGTGTGAAATATCCAATGAGCAGAATGCAGGTAGTCCTAGACTTACAACTGTAATTAAGCCCAGAATTATGGTTGTCATTGGAGTTGCTAAATAGATCATGTGATCAGACCCAATTTTATGACCCATTTTTGCCACAGTCATTAAGTGAACCTCACAATCGTTAAGCAAACACTGTGGCCATAAAGCAAATGCCATGATTGTTAAGCATATCAATTTACCCAAAATGAATTTTTGCTAGCATTTTTTTCTTTTTGCTGAAAACCAGAAGTAAATGATCGAAACCGGCAAAAAAGTAGAAAATCGTAGTCATGTCACCGCAAGATGCAGACAGACATAAAGGTGAGCTGGTTGCCAAGTACCTAAAATGCTATTGCATGAACCACAGGATGTATTTGCATGTGCACGTGGATGTTCCTGAACATGCGCAGCTACAGCTGTCAGTGCAGACTATCTATACAGCTATTACTAAAATCTGACAGGATATTTAACACTCTAATTTTACTTCTTAGTTTGAAAAAAATCAATAAAACCTCTTTGCTGTTGAATTCCAGTTGTTTGATCCGAGAGCACCAAGAACTAACACCCCACCCCCCGTAAAAAAAGGAGGGAATACTTTGAAAGATGTATTACAAAGTTTATAAATTGCTCACACTGGTTTATAGCAAAAATAAATAAAAACATGCAAGACCTTAAAAAAAATTCTATATCACAGTGGACCAAACAAAACCGGATTTGCACATTTCAGAATATAAATTTCATGAAGTTTAAATGAGCTAACATATCTCCACCTTTTAGAAGACGTGCTCTAAACAGTTTATGTGTAAGATGTATGTGTGCACCTACACTGTCACGAACATAAATCCTCTTCAAATTCTCCCAACACTTAGCAGCAGACTCTTCTCCACGAATATGGACTAGCTGCTGGTCACTCAGTGTTAGTCCAATTATACAAAGAGCTCGTTCGTTGTTCTGGTTAAAGTCAGCAAGCTTCTTGGCATCGTCCTCATTAGCTGGATCCCAAGCATTTACATCTGGTGGGTCTTGAACTACATTCCATAAACCTTCTTTACGCAGAAGTAGACTGCACTTCATAGACCAGGAAACATAGTTTGTTCCATCCAACTGGGTTATCAGTGATAGACTTGTTGAAGTGACTTGTGCCATCTTTACCAGGATAGTAACCCACAATTAAACAGTAAACAGCTGTCTGTATACAGTACTGTGTATTCACACTAACTCTCAGTTATCTGAGCCTGGTATGGCCTGGGCCCATAACCAGTGTTGAGGTAATTCCCCGTTAGGAGAATGAGTGCATACAGGGAGACATATAGAGAGTAGTGTTGGAATAATACACACAGAGCACACAGATACATTGTACAGTAAAAGTAGGTTTTTACTTCCAGAAAGGTTTAAGCAAAGTCCAAAATAAGCAGTCCAAAAGTCATTCACAGGTAAATCAGTCAGTTTTTCAATCCAGGGATAATCCATATATCAAATTCCAGTGTCAAAAACAGTTCAGTATCAGACTTACATCAAATCCAGTAAAATCAGTCAATTAGGAAAAATGGAGGAACGGCAATACTTTCCAACAGAAGGAAACAGAGATACACTTACACTCTCTTCTGAGACTCAGACAAAACAACCCAGGTTTCTGGCTCCATCTTATGGCCGTTTGAGAAACCACACCTAATTACTGTTTTGCATTTTCTTAAAGATACAGTTTTAAAATGTTTGTCCTGGTTTATATCTTTCTAACCCAAATACCTGTTAGGTGATTTATATTCCTAACAGTATTTGTTAAAGCCCAACCCTAACGACTATTTAGATTTAAAATATTCCGAGCGCCAAACTGACACTCAGCTGAGCATACCAATTTTCCTATATTTCCTGATTGAAGCATTGGAATCAGGTCCAAATTTCCCAAAACAAATGGAATACGAAGTACTCCAAAACACAGGATCTTTTTCCCAATTTGAAAGGGACTTTCACTCAATAGGTACCCACTCTGTTTCAAAATAAGAACTATGTTGAAGGAAATTACATGATACATTAAATATATGGCTCTTTGCTTTCTCTTTTTACTCCCAGGTGAATACATGACACTTCAACGCAGCACAGCACTTAAGATACTTAAAAGAATTGTGCAGCAAAACAGATTCAAAAGGGAAAAGGGAATTTGGAGTGTGTGTGTGAACCTACTTATTGTACCTGTTGGCAATTATTTAATCAAGCTGACATCACAAAATTTAATTAAAAAGTGCTTGTTTTAAGTGCATATGGCCATGTACATTCTGAATCATCCTTTGAATTCAGATCAGTGCATAGCCGTGGTATTTAGCCTTTTTAAATGTTTAGCTCTTGTCTTCCTGTTCTGCTCTTCTCCAAACATAAAGGTTAAGAAGAGATAACCTTCGTTAGCACTAATGGTTGCTTTAAAAAAAAAATCCTGCAGGAAATTTCAGGCTGCACATTACTGGGGAAATTGTTTACATCATTTCCTTCTTTCACAAACCCATAGTCCTAATCCAAAGGAGGGTCCCATTCGGAAAACAAGGGGACTGGCTCTTCTTTGTCAAATCATACATCTGATATACAGATAGGCCTTGGTTAACATTACTTAGCAATGGCAATCATGGCAGTCCCCACTGCTGGCATTAACTGACTCCCACAAATAGTTAAATGAGGATCCACCCTGATCCCAACTCTTCCCACCTTGGTCCCTCCCAGCCCCAATCCTTGATAAGGTAAAGGACTTGCCTGCTCTGCCTCCTCTTGAATTCCACCCTCATGCCTCTCTTCCCATACCATTCTACCCTTTCAATGCCACACTACACACCATTACTATATTGGCTAGGTCTTCTTTCAGACTGGTGCAGCCGTGGTTTCTTTCACATCCCTTCCGGGGCCTCCATTCTGCTCCACCCCAGGGCCTTCTTTCACACACACACACACAAAAAAAAGCCTGGCACATGAAAGAAGAGCTGACTGCACTGGTACAAAAGGACCCAGAAGCTGAGGTCTTCTTTCATGTACTGGACATCTTTGGCAAAAGCAAGCCCTTGGTGGAACATGAAGTGGGAGTTTGGATAGCATGCAGTAGCCCCGGATGGGGCACAAGAGAAGGCCCAGCTGCATTCGTGTGAAAGAAGATGGCACGAAAGAAGTTCACAACTGGTGCAGTACTGCTGTGCGGTACAGTGGGACGCAGGGCTAGGCAAGGACAGTTAGTGGCAATGGTATCATAAGGGTGGATGGGCCTGAATTTTGTCCATATGACTGTACAGACACCACAATGCCAGACCTTCAAAGACTGGTCCATAAGTCCCTTCATTAGTGTTTATCGTAACTTTGAATGGAAATTAAGCAAGGTTTAGCTGTATATCATAATGTACATGTTAACAAATTGCTCGGATTGGTATGTTGCACTAGCCGAACAAATTTAACCAGAAGCATGTTCAATCTACTGCAGAACTCTATCACATTCAAGGAGAGAATACTGTCATTGCCATTGGGTAAGTTCAAGCTCTGGTTTTATTTATTTATTAAATTTGTATGCTACCCATCTCTATTAAGCAACTCTGAGCTAGTTTACAGTGATTTAGGTCATCATAAAATCATTAATCTTAAAAGGGTGCCATAAGACACTAACTGAATTGTACAGGGCAATTTTCAGGAAGTAGCAAGCATTCTATTTGATCTCCCTTTTCTGCTTGGGCAACTATAGGATAAGGAGTCTGAATTATCTTCAGGATGGTTAAATGGAATGGAAAGGAGACAGGACAGTTCATGATTCTCAAAGCCTTCCTCCCAGTAATTGCATCAAGCAGTATTTGGTTTCTTAGGAAACTGGCAACAAAACACTTAAGGAAGAAGACCACAAAGCTGGAATCCTCCTTCTGATGGGTTCTGCTGGAACCAAGATCCAAAATCGAAGTCTTTCTTTAAATTAATATGTAGGATTGGGGAGCTGGGAATAAAATGAACTTCAATTCACAAACACTTCAGGAATCATACGGAGTTACCAGCTACAACAGTGCTATAGGTTACATTAAAAATACTTTCATTTTAATATTGGGTAATTGCATTATCTCTGAGGAAGCCAGATTTGGTTGCATCAGATTTACTCACCTGTTTAGGAATGAAATGTATCTGCATGACAGTGTTGGTCTCTTCGTGCAAGCCCATGAATTCCACTCCTGGAGTACCGTAACTGAACCACCATTGAGGTCAATAGCATTGAAATAAACATTTATTACAACTGACAAATAGCGTGAAGCAATTAATTATATTTTAAGACAACAGTAATTCTTTGTGGTATCGTACCTAGAATTAGGCTGACCACACTTCTTCTAATAACATTTTTATATGTTGAAATAGTTGAGGACTATTTCCATTAATCTGAAGAGACAACAGCAGAAGCAATTTAATCCTTGATTTATATGAGATCCCCTGGTAAAGGACCCTTTTCAAAGCCTTTCCTTATACTTTCTAACAAGTTTTAAGATTTAAATCAGGGGTCTTCAAACTTGACATTTTTAAGACTTGTGGACTTCAAATGCCAGAATTCTTCTTCCAGTCATGTTAACTTAGTTGAAGTCCACAAGTCTTAAACTTGCCAAGTTTGAAGACCCTTGATTTAATATTTTGAGAGGCTTGATCAAATGTACCTTTTTAAGAAATGAGCAGGATGGAATCAACTGGAATCTATTTGTTCCCAAGGAGGCTCCTGTTTCAATCCATAAATCCAGTTATGCAGATGATCCAATTATATAAATGATTTCCAAAAGAGACTCTTTGCCATCCATTTCCTCCACACCTCTACATTTAACTGGCTTCATGATATAGGAATAAGGATTGCATTTTATATATTGGGGGCTAAATGTAAGATAAGCAACTTTAAAGCAGTCTTTTTTTTAGTTCAGTATTTTTGAATTTCTAAACAAGAATGTACACTTTCCATTACCTATGAGAGAAATAGCTTAACGTGACTCAATATGAGGTCCTAGGACTCCATTCTAAAGTTATCTTGGTTCAAGTCTTATCACCATTTCAAAGACAAACGACTTAAAGCAAACTAGCATTTTTCCATCCTATCTTCCCAACCCATTTTGCAATACAGAGATAACCTTAGTACCATGTTCACAATTATATTTTATATGATGAGGAAGAACAAGACCAAGAACAAATATAATTTGAATTCTGATTCTATCCACTTTAGCCTGCTGGTAGGGAAACTGTGATCAGAATTGGGAAATCTGTTCTATATTTAGGAAGACTAAATATCTAAACTGAGATATTATTACTATAGTCTAATATAGATAATGTGCAGAATTTGTTTAAATAAAGTTCTGTCTACAGACTAAAAATGAGGGCTATGCAGTTCTTTGATTAATTTTTTAAGAAGTGTTTCATAGGAATTCTGCTACCACACAATCCCTGGAAAAGGCACAGTTGCTTTAAAGAATTATAGATAAATACTATTTCTGGGCTCCATAGCATCTTTGGGGATTCTGGTCTAAAGCATTATATCTACTAAGTGTGTAACTAACCTACTTTCTCCCCTAAAACTGATTAGAAAGCAGAAATAAATAATCGAAAGGATACATTTTGATGGCTCCTGCCCGGGTCCCAATAGCCATAAGGTGGAGAAAAGCACTGTAGCCCAGGGCACTTGGCTGGTGAGGAAAACCATGTTCAACCGTCTGGTGGAAAAGAAAAAGATGAACCATCAATATATATTATACATGAAGACAAAAAGCTGCGAAAAATGTGAACTTACATAAGAGCAAATTTCATCATAACTCTGGACTCATAACATTTGAATTCAAGCAATATAATATTGAAACAAAGTACTTCTTCAGACAAATCTTACAGAACCAGAGGCCTGTCTTAATCACGCTTAGAGCCATTGTAGAATAATAGCTCAGAAATATAGTTTAAAATCCCTTTACTGTAAAATATTGATAGAACAAAGTCTACCCCATCCATCCAGACCAGGCTTGAGTAAAGTCACTCTTGAGAACCTTTATTTCCAGAACTTCCATATTTAGCTTGTTAATATTAACTTTAACAAATTATTTTCTATGTGCTTTGTGATTTTCTACAGTGAAGACCAAGCATCCTGCACAGCATTGCCTTTACTCTGTAAATATATCAGACCACAAAAAACACGTATTCTATGGTCTTAAATAGCTCAATCTTTAGTCCATATAGGTATCATTAATCTTAACAACAGCATTCCAAAGTACAGGCAAAGCAATTTCAGAAGCAAAGCAGGCAAGCAAAATATGTAGGAAAATATACAACTTGGTTTGAACATTGCTCTAATCCAGTTTCCCCTACCCATAGCCTGGTGAATAAGCCATAAGGATTGTATTAACAGAACATTCTAAGCCAGGGGTGTCAAACTGGATTTCTTCGAGGGCTGGATCAGCATTGTAGTTCTCCTCTGTGGGCCGGCCAGGGGAGAGGGGGGAAACGGGACGCCTCCTGCAGCACCCTGCTGGCCAAAACGGGGTGCGGGGGGGCATGCAATCTCTCCACGCTCCATTTTTGGCCTGGACGGCCTCCTTTATCAACCAGAGGTTGGAATAAAAAAAATAACTGGATATGCACAAATAAACATACTTTCTCTTTTGCATTTACAAAAATCAGTGATTCTTCAGGCATAGATGTATATGTTAGGAGAAGAGAGAAGTTTTGCCGATTGCAATGTTGAAAATGTCATCTGGTCTTTCTTCCGTCCATTTGCAGCCCTCTGCTTAGGAGCAAATACACAAACTATGGTGAAGGATTTTTAGAATAAGGGTTTAAATCAAACTCCATTACAGCCAAGATGCTGATAACTTTTGGGGACATATTTCTATTCTATGAAAGTGAGCAATAACACTGTTTGGTTGACAGTGTAATCAACATTAACAATCTGGGAAATATACAAACTCCAGACTATTTATTTACTATGATGATTACTGTGAGGCATAAATAGATGGGCTCAGCAGATAATCTTGCTAAAGGAGACAATTGTGTCTTTTTTATTCTTAATGCCAGAATCCTAGCAGCAATGAAAATAACACACAACTGACAAAATTTGTAAAGTTCAGCTTCAAATCAGCCACATTTCTGGTTTCATAAGAACTTAAAGCTACAGCATGATCAGCATTCTATAAACTTACTTCTTCCAAAATATGGATGTAACCAGGACTTGTGCAGAATAAAACTATTCTTTGCTGTCACATGTCATGGAGCCAATCCCTTACATCTATGTATACAGAATTAATATCTGCAGGTGGAAGAGGTTTCCAGCTGAGCTGAAGTACCACTGGGTACCGTTTCAGGAGCTTTTTCCAAACAGGATACATGGGGAACAATAGAAAGCCAAGTTCATGACAGTATCCTTCAAGAATTACTTGCAATGGGCTTCCGGTTTTGCGCGGCTTCGGTAGCGGCAGGAATTCGCGCCTCTGCGATCCCTGCCGCGCTCGCCGCCAAGGTGCCCCCGATCTAAATAGGTCTGGGGGCTATGGCTGCCTTGTAGAGGCAGCCGAAGAGAGAGGGGATCCGGACAGAGGTTTGGGGGTAACGCAGACCCCCTTTCCAGCCGGAATAACCCCTTTTTCCTGAGGTGGTGGAGCGGCGGTCAGTAATGGCCGCCTCAAAGAAGCCTGCAGCCGGGTAAGATTTGTGCTGGAGGAAGAGGGAAGAGCTGTGGAAGTTGCTTCTGACTGGGATAAGTTAAGAGAGAGTGCCCTGTAACCTCGAAGGCTGCTAAGGATACTTTGTTTCTAGAAAGAGATACAAGCAGCGAACATTTCAACAGAGAAATTTTTTTTTTTTTTTTTGCCTTTCACTCTCCTCCCTAACGTGACAGCAGTGGAACCATAAGAGAAATCCGGGAATCTGTTCTGGAGGTAAATGAATATTGAAGGAGCAAGGATTTCTGAATATTCAAAGGGGGAAAAAAAAAAGAAGAATTTTTTTTTTTGGCTGTGAGTGGGAAGGGAGAGGAAAAAAAAAATTGGAGCAACCTGAAAATAAGGAGAAGACTGCCTAAAACTTTAAAGAGCTAATTTTAAAGAGTTATTAAACAGCAATAAGACTTCCTAAAGATATATTTTAAAGAGAACTTTGTGATCAAACTTTATCCCAAAAAGAGAAAGTGGAAAAAGAGAAAGTATTTAAAAGAATCAGCTGATTGGACTGTTTGAAGACTTTGGATTTTATGAGAATTATCTCAGACTAAAAGCACTCGGGTGGTTGTTTTGAAAAAAAAATTTCTCTGTACAATGGCATCAGTTGTGGATGAACTAGAACTTATACACCAAAAATATGAAAGAGAAAAGCAAGAAGGGAAAGATGTCTTTGGCACTCTTTTTCAGTTTATAGAAATGGCGGTCTGTGCTTATGTAAAATCGTATGAGCAGGATAAAGAAGAAGCCATTTTTGAAGAACAAGTGACTTTGGTTGGGGAAGAAAAGAAGGAGGAGAAAAAGGAGAAGAAGACTTTAAGACCTGGGAAAACAATCCAAAAAGAGAAGACTAAAGTGAAAAGGGGATATCGTGTTAGGAAACAACAGAAAGGGGGAAAACAGGATAAAAGGGAGGTGGAGAGACAAGGGGGTAAAGAGGATAAGGAGAAGAAGAAGCAAGGGAGAAAGGAAGGGATGAGAAGCTTTAATGGTGGGGAGCAAAATGCAAAAAAAACAAAAGTTTTTTTTAGAGATAATGGATAGATTTTATTGGAAAAGGGATTCTAGAAGGGTACATAAGATTGCATTTTTATATTTGTATTTAGAAATAATTATAGAAGACTGGAAATAATATGCAATTTAAAATGTGATAAAATATTTAGTATAATTCAGTGAAATTTTTGTTGAGAGGGGAGTACTTTAATGAAATAATGATTTAAGATCGGTGATGTGGGGGGGGGGGATAATTTTGGAAAGTATAAGATGTGTTCCCATGAAGGTATGATAATTAATTGAAATGGGTAAAATGTCTAAAGATATAAATGATTGTTAATACCAATGATTAGGCTATGTTATACTAGTGAAACTATTCGTGAAATGAGAGGTTTGAAGAAGGAGAGGGGAACATGTAATGTAATAATGATTTATAATATGTGATGTGGGGGGCGGAATTAATATGGCAAATAGGTGCTCCCATAGAAATATGTGACCTAATTGATAAGAAATGTGCTAGATGTTTAAGATATGAATGAATATTAATATTAATGAATAGATTTGTATTGGTTTTGATGATATTGTATAATGTCAGAATGTACCAGACAGAATCCTAACGTAAGTTATGTACTTTAAATCAAGTATTATAAATATAGGGGAAAGAGACATAGGTGTCATACTCCAATCAGTGTACAGGAGAAGGTTTTTCTTTTTTTTCTTTTAAGAAGAAAGATAAGCGGATAGTTGGAAATAGAACAGACAAAGAATAATAAATATTATGATTTGAATTGAGAGGAGATAAATAAAATAAAATTGAGAAAATTTAAAAGAAAGGAGAAGCTATATAGAAAAATGAAAATGTAATAAGATATGGAATGGTATGTAAAATGAATATGAATTTGAATGTGTGTCTGTACCAAGAGTTTTGACCCGGGATTAAGCAACTTTCAGAAAAGAGATCTTTTATGTTTTTATGTCTTGTATTTTTGTATGTTTTGTATGTTTTTAAAAATTAATAAAAAAAAAAAAAAGAATTACTTGCAATAATTGGTTGTCTGAAAAGAGGCAGACAAAAGACCTGTGTGTGTGTGTGTGTGTATATATACACACACACACACACAAATACAGAAGTATCTCTCCAGGGTACCTACAGGTAGTCCTTGAGTTATTACCATAATGGAGCCTGCCCATTATGGTCAAAAGTCATAATGGTTATAAAACAGGTTGGTCATGTGGCTTACCCAATTTATCACATTGTCTGTGGTGGCTGTTAAAGGAATGTAGCAGTTGTAAAAAACAACGCAGCATTGGCACCATACTTTTATGCAGTCTGGATTTAAATTAAAACATTCAGTTTGCTTTTTTTTTTTCTAAAAATGGTTTAATCTGGAAAACATCCAAGATGTCCTTATCCACTGAGAGGTTGCTTGCTGGAAAGAACGCCCATAGCTTGGCCTCACAAATGAGAGGCTAATTGCAAAGAATGGCAGAAATGAAAGGTAATTTTTCCTGGCTTTCGCTATAAGACGGAGCATTAATAAGCTATATATATGCACTGAAAGCAGCAACATCTCAGTCCTGATTATACATTGCAAACAGAGTTACAGAACTTTAGAAAACATTGTTTGGTCACCCTTGTATTCTTCTGAATTCATCTTTTTATATTCTGCTTAATAAATCACCCCTGCCTGAAAACTGACAAACTTTTATTTTATGAACATTGATTACATAACTGAAGAAAATAAAAAGGTTATGAATCAAAGCATCTTTTTCAACTACACTCTGCTGCTATGAATTCAATGAACATTACTCAGGGTTTATTAACTGCAAGTACATCTGTTTTAAGCCTCATGTTTCGGGGGAAAAAACATGTTAATGTGTTGAGTCCACATAGCCTATTGCACAAGTAGAAAGCTTTGAAGAGATTTTATTTCCACTGATTTTACCAGCCTGAACAACACACATTGTTTGAGAGTCCATCCAACCCTCAGGAAAGTCTATTTAGCTGTGTAGGAGAAGATAAC